CAGCTCCCTACACCCAACCTTCTGCCCCCCCACATCCCTGCTTCCACCAGCCCCCTAATCTCCCCGGCCTGCCCTGATTCCCCCATCCAGTGCTGTTTCCAGTGGCCAGCTCTCCCCTCATCCTCCCTCCGCCACCCTCCCCTAGCTAGGACTCTGCTGGGAGTCGGAACATCTGGCTGCAGATTCTGCCCAGGCCGGCCAAGGACTTGGGGGACCTGGCGCCACACGGGCACTCCGGGAGCGCAGAACACCCTGGCAACCATTCTAAGGCCCAGTAGTTTTTTCCTGTGGCCTGGTACCAGACCACGGCCCATAGTTTGGGAAACGCTGCTCTAGTTATTAAAATTCACAACGCGGAGCCAGGCAGTTTGCATTGTGTAACATGAACCGTGCAAGCCCATCTTCTTTCAGGAGTGACACTGTGAAACAGTAATATCCTCAGTGATGTGCCCATTGATATGGCTGCCAGGTGGCACTACAATGCTATTCATTCATTCAATATGTTGCAGTTGCCAGACACTGGTGAAAAGCCCCAAGCAGCATGTATATTACAGTTCACGAGGAGTGTATTGTGAGGGAGACTCATTCTAGGTGCTCGCTTTGCTTAAGGTAGAAAAGTTTTGAATGTCCTGAAAATTTACAATCTTTTCTTTTTTCCTCCTTCCCCCTTCTTATGTAGCTCATCCAAAATCCTTGATGTCTCAATCTAGGCTGGCTGTCAGGAGACTTCTGAAAATGACCCACAGTGCACAAGCCATAGATCAACTGGAGATCCCACCTGTGCTAGTGAACTACCTCAAGCATCATTCTTAAGGGAAGATCAGAGCAGCAATTTTGAAGACAAATGTAACGTGTTGACCACCTGGATAAAAAGCCATTGTGAAGTAGCAACTATGCAGTATGTGGTAGCCATGATTCAGTTATTACTGTGTGTGTGTTTGCTTAAATTACGTCTCCAAAAGGCAGCTTTGCTTTTATTAAAACAAACCAAAGAAAACTGGTAAAAGGTAATAAAGGTACACGAAGATGGAAAAGAATTTACCCCTAGCAGTGCACTGAAAGGATTGGAGAATGTTCTTAGAAAAACATCTAGTTTAAGTTTTTTATATGATTTTGGTTTTATACTCTCATAACCAAATCCTCTTTCATCTTATTAGTTAACTCAAATCCAAAAAAAGTCTGTATGGTTGTCAGAAGCTGAAAGGGAAAGCTGGTTTTCCATCCTACTTTTATGGGGGAAAGAACAGGAGGTACAATAGGGTAAAGAGTGATGGGTTTTACCCTGTGTTGTGGCTTAAGTCTAAAAACATTTGTCTTGTTTTTTTTTTTAATCTCTTTCCTGGAAAGCTATAAAAGTGCACACCAGCCTTTCTGAGCTGGGATTAAGAGCTGTACCTAAACTTGTGATTTACATCAAAATTGTGTGGAGGGGTGACTTTAGAACTGTTTGTCACATCTGGAGATTGGAGCCCTCTAAGTTCTCTATAAAAAGTACTGTGGCAAGGCGGATGGAAAACAGCAATGCAAAGCAAACTCTTATACCCTTCCTCACTAATGTTCCTCATTCTCAGACTACATGTACGCTACAGCCTGGATAAGTGCACTGAGATCAAACCAATGGCAGACGATTTTGTGGGTCTCCCAAATTGACCACAGATCGCTCTCCAGTTGACCATGTTACTCTACCCCAGACAAGAAGAGTAAGGGAAGTTGATTGGAGAGTTTCTCCTGTCGACTACCCCCAACCTCCATGGCACAGACCTCATAGTAACTTGACTTAAGGTACGTCGACTGCAGCTACGTTATTCACGTAGCTAGCTGGAGTTGTGTAGCTTAAGTCAGCTTTCTGCAGTAGTGTAAAAGTAGCTTTAGGCCAGGTCTACACTAGACCCAGAAGCTTGGCTTCAGGTATGCTATGTGGAATACGTAGCTGGAGTCAGCTTCCTTTAAGCCAAGTTTGGCGCACTCCCCACAGCGGGAGGCCGATGGGAGCAAATACTCCCATTGGCTTCCCTTACTCCACACAAGAGCACGAGTACTGGCCACTGGTGGGGAAGTCTTAACTAGACTTGCTAAATCGAATTCCAAAAGATCGATCATGGCAGCATCGATCGTCTGCAGAGTGAAGATAAGGCCTTAGCAATTCCCATAGGGGGTCAGAAAATGACGTATTCAATCTTTGGCCTCTGCTGGGACTGATAAATGAGGCTGGTTATTACCTGGCGTGGACAACAATTATCATACTAGATAGGGCTGTAGTTGTGTTGTCTTCTGTATCTTGAATAGCACTGAGCATATGCTTAGTAATGTATGGACAATAATAATAGCCCACAGAACAGCCATCAATTGCTAATACCTTCCAGTCCTGGGCTAGATTTTAAATGGTGGGCTAGAGGCAAAAGACTCTGTTTCATATGCAGTCTCCTCTGCCTTCCTCACCTCCTACATCTAACTCAAACACATAATTTCATCTTCTCCTTAAATATAGTTCTGGGTAGGATTAAGTGGAGAGAATATTCATCTGATCTGTTGTATGCATATGAATTTTCAGTTTTCAAGAATTCATGTTATTATTGTGATTAAACTATTCAGGTCTGTTTGGTAAAATACTATTTCATTGTTACTGGAAGAGACAGGAAGCCCTCTTGGTGCTATATGTAAACCGAAATTTGGCACAATATCACTTGGAACATGACTCTGGCTGATAACACAAAATGTCCAGGCTTAAACTTAGAGAGTCTCAAGTTAGCAAAACAAGAATTTGTGAACATTCACTCCAGCTCCAGCTAGCTCTTTGGTTTCATCTTATTCAGGTCTCTCTTGTTCTCTAATGGGTTTTGCTTACATGCTGGTTGCTGCTCATACAACTGCCCAGATTTGCCTGTGAGCAACGGTACTGGTGCATGAACAAATGTATTCAGTATTCCTATTCACTACCTTTGTATTTGTTTGCCATTAATTAGTCTCTTGTTTAAAAAGCTACAGCCAGCCACTCAAAGAAAAAATCAATCACCATATGATCAATCATGTACAGGATTAAATGTGTTTACAAACACTTTTCTTTAGATCATTGTAAATAATAAATATATTCATAAAAGTCTCAGAGGAGTAGCCATGTTAGTCTGTAACTTTAAAAACAATGAATAGTTCTGTGACACCATAAGGCACACCCACACAGCAGGGCTAAAGTCAAATTAAGCTAAGTAACTTCAGCTATGCCAATTGCATAGCTTAAGTCAAAATAGCTTAATTAGGCTGTTGGCGTTATCTATACAGCAGGACGTTGAAGGAAGAACACTTTCCCTTGGACTTCCCTTACTTCTCATGAAATGAGGGTTACCCTGAGTTGGAGTAAGAAGTCCTCCAGCTCAACATTATTTTGAACTAAAGACTTGTAGTATAGACTCACACTGTTGTTTCAGAATAATGTCAATTTACTCAGAAATAACGCTGCTGTGTAGATGTATCATTAGAGACTAACAATTATATAGATATAGATGAGCTAGTCTGCTGGTGACCAGAAACAAGGGTTACGTTAACTGGAATCCCAGTTGCAATGGCTAAGTTGATTACCCACAAAATAAATATACTAACTCAAACAGCAAGAAAGACATAGTCTAACAGTCTGAGTTTTGGACTGGGATATATACAAGTTCTCAATGTGGTTTTAACAATAATTCTTATGGGCAAACCACTTAACCACTTTGTGTCTCATCCCTTTCTGTGAAATAGGGATAATATTAATGCCTAACTTTTAGGGTATGTCTACATTTGCAGCCTATTTTGGAATAGGGCTGCAAAAGTAGGCATTCGGAATTGCAAATCAAACCCGGGATTTAAATATCCCCCGCTTGATTTGCATCTTGTTGCCTGTGTCTCAGAGCAGTCTCTAGCCCCTGGGAAACACTGCCTCCTTTACTCACCTACCTCACAGGGCTGTTGTGAGAAAGGGGTAATGCTTTTAAAAGGAAAAGCTTTCGCTGTGCTAAGTGTTATGTGCAGTACTGTTAAAAACTTAGCTATTAAATCTCTAAATGCCATGAACTAGGGCCGGCTCTTTAGAACAGAACTTACAAAATTCCATTTTATAACTAAGCCATTAAATGTGTCTCGTGAAAACAAAAGCAACTAATACTATGGGGGAGGGGAGTTTCTCCTCCCCGCTTCTAATGGACTTCTAGTTTAGCTTAGGTTTTTTATTATTAATATGTATTATTATTATTATTATTTATTTTAATTGATTTAGTTCAACTGCACTTTTCTAGTGTAGACTTAATTTACTCTTGGGCCAAACTCTTCCCCATGCAGTGTCAGCTCAGATTGAACTTTGATGCCTGAGTACTGAAACTGCTAGAAAATGGAGGCTTATGAATAATGTCCTGACTCATCCTCACAATTAGAGGCTCCAAACAGAGCAGTATGCCATGGTTGCCTGAGGTGGTGATTGCTCAGAAGCCTGAGCAGAGGAGGTAATTTCCAGCTCAGGTAGCCATACGTGCATTAGCTTTGATTGAGTTACTGTAGTTATAAATAGACATCTAGGTGCAATTGTGCAAGCTGAAGGATGGGCTAGCCAATCTGAATACAACCTTTTCTGAAACAGATATGCACTCATCTGGATACACTTCTATTTTTAGGTGCTGGCTCCATCAGAGTTAGAATGAATAGCTATAATAGTTAGCTATGACTCCTGCTCCGGTGTAGACATACCTGAGACAGGTAGGTACATGTCATTGGACAAGCAGTTCTAATAAAAAGGCTGGCTGCACTTCAAACCAGATCTGAACCAGGAGGAAACTTTCTTGAGGCTAGAAACAATTCCATTAACGCTCTCCACCACTCCTACTTTCGCTACCACTGCATTTCCAGGGTCTGGTTGACAATGGAAGTCAGAGATGCTGGATTATCTGGAGAGAGGCTACTTCTGACTTGAGTGAAAGGAACAAGTCCTGAAATCTCCTGAGAGACTTTTTTTTTATTATTCTAAACTTGCTGAAGGTGTCTTAGGTCAGTATCTGGACTTTTGGGTGCTTATTGACTCCCCTGCACCTACCTTTCCAGAGTTCCACTCTTAAAGCATGAGACAGGCCCTGCCTCACACTCTGGATGCAAACATGCCAGTGCTGGAGAGGTTCAGATCCATTCCAAGTGTTTAGACCCAGCCCAGGCCCATATCTGCTTGCAGTCAAACACATGGCTCATATAGAGTGTACCGATCTGTCTGAGGTACAAACCCCTTTGTCTTCCTTTCTAAATGCTGTCTTGATCAAGCACAGTGCAAGTGGTGACCTGTGTTAGCAAGCAATGGACACCGTGCAGATGCTTGTGCACTTACCTGGCAATTAACATCTTGACTCTTAGGGCTTTTATTCGGTGTCAGGATTGGGGAAGATAACTCCTATGCAGTTCATATTGTATTATAGTTGTGTCCCAAACTTCATTGCAAATTAAGTACAGGGGAAGAGAGACATGACTGAAAACTCTCAGGATAACTACACATACAAATCACCATGGTAACCACAAGAGTGGTTTATGATGCCATCAGATCCTCAGGATGTGTAAGATATAAAGCACTGCACTTGCTCCTTGTCTTTACTGAACTGTTCTGCAAAATGTCCCTCTGGCATGGGCTTCACGAAGATTGTATTTGTTTGCAAAACGCAGACAGGAACAGAACAAAGTTTTGAATTATTTATAGGCGTATAATCTAATTGTTATTTCAAGGGTTATGGAATCTATTACTCCACATCTATTAGGCTGTGAACAGATCTCCCAGGAGAAGCATTAGGAGCCTCATTGCTTGGCATATTTAAAATGAGACTGGACAAAAAACTAGAAAATATACTGCAGGGAACAATTGTGTGGTGTTGGCTGGGGTATGAGCTGGATGATCTAATAGACCTTTCCCATTTCTAGATTTTATGAAGCATCTTATTGTTGGGTAGTAGGGTTAATGACTTAGGATATATGTCATTCACCAGATACCGTACAGGTTTTTTTTGTACACCGAAGTCCTGGTATTAAATACTGTGCCATTTGTCCTATGTTTTCTTTGCATACTGAAAACCAATCGGAGCCAGGTCATCACTAAGGAGCCACTAAAATAGATGAGTTCATATTCTGTACTCTGTTACGGTGCGTCTACACTGCACCCATAACTCACAATAAGCTATTCAGTTTGAGCTATGCAAATTGCGTAACCTATTTCAAGTCAATTTAGAAACAACTTATTTTGAAATTTGGCGCTGTGTACACAGCACTTACTTAGAAATAAATTGCTATTCCGAAAAGTCCCTTACTGTTCATGGAATGAGGTTTACAAGGATGTCAGAATAGCGAGCCCACTATATTTCGAAATAATGGGCATGCTCAAAAGATGCAGAATAGCTATTTCAGGATACCTTGCGCTGCAGTGTAGATGTAGTCTAAAAACCAACGGCTGCTGGAGAGAAACCCAATAGAAGTATATTTCAACTTGCTGTTGAGGCCAAACAAATTCCTACTCAATATATCTCTTGGCATCCAGCTGGTGGCAGGTAACACTGAGCTCACAAACTGCATAGTGATCCTTTCGAAATGCTAAGTCTTCTGATAGGGCTAGTGATTGAAGGCAATAATACTACTCAACCATACTGTGAATTTAAAAAGTCTCAGGGTATGTCTACACTACAGCGCTAATTTGAACTAACTTAGTTCGAATTAGTTAATTCGAACTAAGCTAATGCGAACTAACGGATCCAGACTAAAAAACTGGTTCGAATTAGCGTTTTGCTAATTCGAACTAGCATGTCCACATTAAGTGGACCCTGAACTGGGCTTAAGGATGGCCGGAAGCAGTGCCGGCAGGGCATCAGAGGAGGACTTAGAGCGTGGAGATGCTGTCTCAGGCTAGCCGAGGGCTGTGCTTAAAGGGTCCTGACCCCCACCCCAGACAGACAGTTCTCAGGGGTGCCCCGCTTGCAAAGCAGCCCTGGCTTGGATTGCCCGGACTACCCACACTGGGCACATCACAACACTCGGCCATCAGCCCGGCTGCACTTGCCGCAGGCTG